GGGGAACTCTGCAAAAAACGCATCTTCGCACGGGCAGCCCGTGCGTTGGCCAATTTTTTTTTTCTGGAGGGGGGGGGGCACTAGCTCAGCGATTCTTCTGACAGAAGCATTTGAAAAAACTTTAGCAGTTTCGACATGTTAATGACGTGTGTAATGTGTGTCTGTGCGTATGTATGTGTGCGTGTGTGTGCGTGCGTGTGTGTGTGCGTGCATGCACGTGTGTGTATGTACGTGTGTATGGGTGCGTGTGTGTGCGTGTACGTGTGTGTGTGTGTGTTTTTTTTTTTTATTTGAGAATCAGCTCCCAAATCAGTTGTCTCTGATAGATTATAATGAGGTATCTTATCCGATTAGGAACGCCTTGGTAAATGCAGAATTGAAGCGCTTATGCACTGAAATCGGTTTTTACGAACTTTCCTTAGGTGCTTTAAACTAGGCCGTTCGATTTTTCGGTGTGTCCATACTGATAGGCCTGATGCTGTAATTGATGATCCACACTATGAAGTTCTGGCTATTGGCCCCGAATATATCAGAGGGAAATTCTTTTCTACGGATTTCGCTGATTTGTTTGATTGCGGTAAATTGGTACTGATGTAACTGGTCTTCAAGTGGTTCTCGGAAGGAAAAAAGCGGCCTTTAGCCTTGTAGGTTAAGGTTGCTTTGACATGGTCTTGCTTGCCCTTGAGGTATTTAGACTTGTGCCCAACTTTTAACAAACTTGTCCCACCCTTCGCTTTAACTTTCTGTCTCCGGCCATCCCACATTTTGATTTCTTTGAACCATCCATTTGTTTTAATTATTGCAAATCGGCCTCCTAAACGGCCGTAGTTTATTATTCTGTTAAACGGGAGGCAAACTTCGATGCAAAAGCATAACTTTTGCTCGGATTTTCGCTCGTTTAGGTTAGCGCTTCATGCTTTTTTCTGTTTTTTTTTTGCTCAGTTTTGTTTTTTTTTTTTTTTTATGTCCCTGATTAAATCGTCTAGAAACTTTTGAGCGCTCAGATTATTGTCGAATTGAAGAGTTATGTGAGTGATAATGAGTTTGATTTTGCAACAAACAGAGCAAAAAGAGTTAACGAGTTATTTTAACTAGAGCGCATGCTAATTTGTGAGATTTTTTTTTGTCTTACGTTATTCTAAATACTAATGCCAGCAGTGCATGTTTGTTGGTGTGATTCAGAAAGACAATGCGCCGACAACGTCAACTTCATCTCGGGCAGATTCTAAAGCACAAGAAAGAGAAGCTTTGAAGGTTTCTTTTATAAGTTTATGTTCAAATTCTATTTTCTTGAAGTTTTTTTTAATATAATAGAGATGGATTTGCTTGAATAATAAGCACTGCATGTTTCTAGCTAATACTGCAGTTAACGTGAGTGAAAAAAGGAGGGGGAGGGGAAGAGAGGAGCTGTTAAGAACCCCACTCGACTTTTTTTTTTGCATTCCATTCATTAGTTCTTGCAAAATATCCATTAATAGGTCATCATTCCGTTGAACTTATTGCTTCCAAAGCGTACTGAAAATTTTCGTTTTTCGTAGGATTACGTTTAAAATTACGTTTTTATACGTTTCATGTTCAGATAGAATATCTTTCTTGTATAAATTTAACTTGTTTGCGGTTAAAATTATCGCAGAGGTAGTAAAAAAAAAGTAGTAAACGGTAATAAACTGATGATTATGGTTCAGGAAAAGGTATCTGAACTACAAGATAAGTTCCAACGCGCAATGTTCATGTATTCGCAGTTGGATAACGAAAAATCAGCGCTGCTTTATGAGATTGATTTGTTGAAAGATGATATGGAAGAGAAGGAGCAACTGCTTTCGCAAGCAAATCGAGAATCCCGAGATTTGACTTCTGTAAGTTTTTCTTTTTTTTTAAATTAAACGTACTTTTTGCAGCATTAAAGAAATGTTACTTGAGCCGAAAAAGCGGGGTTTTTTAAGAGATGCCAGGTCAGATCTTATGAATTTGCTCATGTAGATGTGCTTTCTTTGTTTTCTTCTCTTTTCTGTAGAAATTATAAATCGCTTTTAGCGCTTTTGTCATGAATCGTCCCGTCGATTTACTAATTTTTTTTATTAGCTTGTTGATTGGTTTTTTTTTATGGGAAGTGTGCAAGAAGCAAATATTTAACAACAGGTGAGACTTTCCCTCGTCGTTTTGCCAAATTCGCACAGATTTCTTCAAAGGAAGCAGTCTTGAAAAATGGACGAGGCAAATAATATGTGGCCATTGAGGAAATGCTAAGCAGTCTGCAAGCAAGCAAAGAGTTTCATTCGTACGCCTACATAAAATTATTTGAATATGTTAAGCAAGTAAGCCGGAAATATTGTCAGCTGCACTGATGGTGAGAAAGAGTGCAACAATTAAAAGAGCAGCTGTTTAGAATGCTTTGAAATAAAAATTGCGATGTGATTTCCTCAAAAAATGAGGAAAATGCCATTCTTCCCTAACCTCCCCCAAGCATGATGTTTAGTGACGTTGCATTACCACTAATATGAGCAAACCAGCCGGGCTTGCATTGTTTCACTATACTAAGAAGTAATTGCGAGAAATATGTACTTATGTTAATTGAAATGCATTCCTGAGAATATAGAAAGTTTATCTTCCGCATACAAATCCCTGAGAATATTTGAAATTTGAATTTATAAGGGCAGGAAATTAAAAATGGGGAGTTTATCCTTTGTTTATCGAAAATAGGAGGTTATCACCCACCTCGGTCGTGGAAAAGCGAAAACCTGCAAAAAATCAGCAAACACGAAGCTGCTAGGAGCAAAAAGATGTATACTGCCTATAGAAGGCAGCCAGAAAAGCCGCATCCTCTCTTAAAAGGCAGATACGCAGTAGATGTGCTGCCAGGCTGACGGTGCAGTGCAAAGGTCGGTGGTGTAATGGTTTAGCGTGCCGTATACGGACTTGAAGGGGAGTGGTTCGGTTCCTGCCCTGGTCCAAAATCATTTTGAAAAGAGACTCCGTTCACGATAACTGCCTCGCTGGCTTTGGAATTGGGATTTGTTCTCAGCATGGTTGCTTTTTTGGGGAGAGGGGCTGTGTCCGTTATACCTTTGTGCATAAAACAAAATATGTGCGTAGGCCATGGTTTTTCTAGAAAAAGGAAGGCATGTAGTGCAAAATTAATAAATTTACAATGTTTTATTTTTAAGGAAACATACAGCATATGTGTATGTCTTGTTTGATGAATTGCTTTATACGTTCTGTTTGATGAACTGTATTCTTTTATATAACAGGAGGTGAAATTGCTCAAGCGTACAGTGGACGGTTTGAATGCTCAGCATATGGCATTACGAGCCGAAATTGCACAACGTGATCAAATTATACATGTTAGTATTGGTGTACTTTTTTTTTCGTGAAATCTCATGTTCCAAAAACTAATTCTTTTTTTACTTTGGGAGCCTGTGCTTGTT